GAATTGTCCAGATTCTATCAAAAAAATACACACCCTTGTGTGATAGGGGGAGACCTTAACTTGATCAGGAACAGTTCTGAAAAGAATAAGCCTGGATGACTAGATCATTTTAGTTTTTTTTCAATCCTATCATTGAACATGCTGGACTCACAGGTCTTCCTTTGCATGGGAGAAAGTATACCTGGGCTAACAACTTGCCTGAGAAACTGGATAGAATTTTAATCTATCCAGATTGGGAAGACAAATACCCCCTGGCTATGGTAAATGCCATGTAAAGGGAAATTTCTGATCACACCCCTCTGCTTGTAGACACTGGGGAGCTTAGAAAATCCAAGCCCATATTTAGATTTGAAAATGCCTGGATGCTAATGGAAGGCTTTAGGGAATTTGTGGAAAAAAGTTGGAATATTAAGTGTAAAGGTTCTAGTTTAGACATATGGCAGACAAAGTTGAGAAACATTAGACAGAAAATAGGGGATGGATTATAAATGCTAATGCTGCTTACAGAAAAAGGAAAAAAGAACTATTGGAGCTATTGGACCAGATTGTTAAAAAAGCTGAAATTAATGGACTTAGTACTCAAGATAGAGAGATCCAGGAAAACTGGAGGAAAGAACTGAAAAACATCTTGAAGATGGAAGAAATTAAATGGTTACAAAGGTATAAAGATAGGGAGATAAAAGAGGGTGACTCTAACACTATATATTATTATGCCAAGGTTAATGGCAGAAGAAGAAAAAATAGGATTACTATACTTGAACATGAGGGAGAGCCCATTGAGGGTGAGGCCAAACTCATGGAGCATGTAACCAACTATTATAAAACTTTATTTGGTCAAGCTGAAAATCTAATATCAATTTGGACATTCAAAACACTGTTGGGATTTCCACACAGGAGGAAAATGATTTGGTTAAACCTTTTAGTTTGGAAGAAATTAAAGAGGTGGTTTTCACTATGAAAAAAAAACAAAAGTCCAGGCCCTGATGGATTTGCTGTAGACTTCTACCAACATTTTTGGGAGCTACTTAAGGCTGATTTGAAGGCTATTTTAGATGACTTTCATAGGGGCAAAGTTGATTTGGCCAGATTGAACTATGTGATTATTACCCTAGTTCCAAAAGTTAAAGATGCTAGACAAATTCAAAAATTTAGACCTATCTGTCTCCTAAATGCCAGTTTCAAGATTATCACTAAAATAATGATGAAAAGATCAAGCAAAGTAGTTAACCCTATCATTTCACCCATCCAAACTGCCTTTGTGAAAGGTAGATATATTATGGAGGGAGTTGTGATTCTGCATGAGGCTCAAAACTCTATTCAAATTAAAACACAAAGTGCTATGCTGTTCAAAGTTGACTTTGAAAAAGCATATGACAAAATCAAGTGGCCTTTTGTTCATAAGATGCTCAAACTAAAAAACTTTCCTGACAAATGGTGTGACTGGGTATTACACACTATGAGAGGGGGGCATGTAGCAGTCAAAGTGAATGATGACGTAGGTCCTTACTTCAAGACCTTTAAAGGACAGAGGCAGGGAGATTCTCTATCTCCTCTACTCTTTGTCTTGCAGTTGATGCTCTTGCCATCATTCTAGATAAGGCTAGAGAGGAAGGAATTGTAAAAGGGGTTCTCACTGATTACCATGACAATGGATTCAATATGCTGCAATATGCAGATGACAACATTTTTTTGTTGCAAGATGATGAAGACTCTGCCAGAAATTTAAAATTTATCTTAACTGCCTTTGAGCAGATGTCTGGTTTGACAATAAATTTCCATAAACGTGAAATATTCTTGTTGGGGGGGGGGGCAGTGAAAAAAAATAACTGTATCAGGGAATCTTCACCTGCATTCCGGGGAAACCCCCCTGAAATACCTGGGGTTACCCATTTCTAACAAGAGAATCAGGAACAAAATGTAGAAGAATGTTACTGAAAAATTGAGAAAAGATGTGCCTGCTGGCAGGGCAGACTACTAAATATTGCAGGAAGAGTCACTTTGGTGCAATCCTACTTGTTTAACATACCTATATACATGATGTCTTTTTATCTCTTGCCAGCTGGAGTTAGAAAAAAGGTAGATTTTTATAGAGCTAGGACGGTGTGGCAATCAGAGGAGGACAAAAAGAAATACCATTTGGTAAATTGGAAAACCTGTTGTCTTCCAAAACAACAGGGGGGATTGGGGATTATCAATATTTAAATGTTTAATATTGCTTTATTGGCTAAATGGTTGTGGAAACATGAAAATGATGAGGGGTTTTGGCAGGGAATTGTTAAAAGGAAATATGTTGGGGACAAATGTCTCTATGGAATTAAACATAAAAATGGGGATTCCCAATTCTGGTCTGATATCTTGAAAATTAGAAAATATTTCTACCCACATGTTAAGAAGAGATTGGGGGATGGCAGAAACACCAGATTTTGGGAGGACTGGTGGGTTGGAGATAAATCACTCAAAGAGGCTTACCCCTCTCTGTTTTTTATTAGCAATGATCAGGGGATTACAGTTAGAGAAGCAATTGATAAGGATTGGGGTGGTTTCACCTTCAGAAGAGCTCTGTATGGGGATACTGAGCAACTTTGGAATAGCATGAGAGCAAGATGTGAGGAAGTTTTGATGCATGGGGGGAGGGACAAATCCATGTGGATGTTGACTGCTGATAGAAAATTCACTGTCAAATCACTATACAGGGATCTGATCAAGTCTGATGTGGGATTCCCCAGGAAGTTTCTGTGGAACTAAAGTTCCTGCTAAGATTAGATTCTTTCTTTGGCTGCTAGCAAGAAAAAGTGTACTTACTAGAGATAATTTGTTAAAAAGAGGATGGAAAAGGGATAAAAAAATGTGTTTTTGGTGGCAAGAAACTTAAGGATGAAACGATAGATCATCTGTTTTTCTCTTGCTCGGTAGCAAAAACCATCTGGGCTCTAGTGAGATGTGCATTTGATGTGAAAAGTACCCCTAGAGACCTAATGATTGTTTTGGATTATGGTAAAAAAATCCAGAAAGATAGCAAGAAACTTATAATGGTTGGCGTCTCAGCGCTGTTGTGGGCGATCTGGAGAAGTAGAAATAACATTGTGTTTGATAGAAAAATGATTTCTGACCCAATGGGTATTGTGAAAATGATGTGTGGATGGATTTCTGACTGGGCTGTTTTGCAGAAAAAGTGCCCAGGGGAAAGAATGTTGATGCTGGGAGCAAAACTCATCGTGCAAGTAGCAAGTGATGTCTACAAAGCTGCGCAAGGCTGGCGTTTTGAAGTCCTTCGAATCCAGCAGTGACGAAGATGGGAAAAACTTCTCCTTTTGGCGCTTCGACGAAATGGAGTGAAGTGGAAGATCTACGAAAGAGGCTCAACTTTGGTGCCTGCCTTTTCTGTTACCTTGTTATGCTGGGAGACTCTCTGAGATGTAATAGGACTAGATCTTTTAAGTCGTGATCTCGAAAAGAACCCTGTCTAGATACTTGGTTTGATGGTTTCTCTAATGGAAATCGGAGGGGAAACCCTCCGTTGCTCAAAAAAAAAATTTATACCAAGGAGACAAAGCTCAAAGCTCCACGTGAATGGATTTTTTTTTTGAGCGGAAACACATGAATGAAATAGTTACTAGTGAATGGTCCATGTACTCCCTAGCTAGTACTACACCAAAACCGGTACTCACAAAAATAATCTTGGCATCAAGCGTCTATCAATAGGAAAAAAAATTGACCACTTGGATACTAATGATAGGACAAAAGGCGGTTCCGTCTCGCATTGTGAATCCCTAGCTAGTACAGCACATACCACTGAACTATGATTTCAGACTTCCATATATACATGCAAGATAAACAGTTCACACTTATAACTCGGTAGGACTAGTAGAGTTCAAAGTAAGAAAAACTCGCGAAGAAGAGCTAGCTAAAAAATGATATATACCAGGGAAAAGAAGTAAGTACGCTGCGACTTGCTGGAGCTGACCTTGGGCACGGCGTGACGCTTGGTCAATTCTGTCGATCAAGCCCTTTTCCTTCCCAGCGCACGCAAGCAAAGCACGCGGCAACCTGCTGCTAGAGTGCTAGTGCCACTACTAAAATCCATATCTTCCACTGCGTTGCTTACGGCTGTGCCGAACTACCAAATCCATATATATGTAGCCAAGGTAAAAAAGATTCCCCAGACTGCAACCACCGGATCGATCATACTACTATTCATATAGTATAACGCTGCTTGAGAGTGCACAGGCAAGCAAGCACACTAACATGGCTACGTGCGCCTCATCCCGTCTTCTTCTCGCATGCACCGTCCGGCTGGCTAGCTGAGCCGAGAGTGTCAAACCTCCTTTAACTCTTTGGCAATCAACACATGGAAGCGTACGCACACCACCAGCCCAACACGTCTTGTAGACGAAAGAAGCTTTCATTGCTTCCGACGTACGTCCACACCACCTTTTTTGCACCTCATCTTTTCATCTCCTCCCTTTCTGGGTGATAATAACAAACTGAGGACAGAACTGGACGCATACATGCAGGGAAAGATCTATCAGTTTGTTAGAATATTTCTGCATGTCGACCCGGAGGCCCGGTTGTTGATATATTTTCAGCGAATTGGTTTCAGAAAGATTGGTCACTTTTAGGTTTTCGCTAGGGATCATGCATGCATGCCTCTGAAGCAAGATGGAGATGTACGAAGAACATTGGATGGGTACTGGAGTAGGTGTGTGCCGATCAGGATGAGGCCATGTCATGCATGCATGCGCGTACGAAAGCATCTTCACGATGTGCCACACGCGCAAGTCACGCGCGTGCATGTGCACCTTAAGCTTGTTATTCGCCACTCGCCTCACGCACGCGAGCCTTTACCTTACGTGTAGATATACCATCTCTTATATATATCATCGGCATGTTCACCGTTCATTCATCAGAGAGACATCATTCGAGCCACATCTCCATAGCCACAAGTACAGAAGAAACCACGTACGGCTGTTCAGAGGAAACTGATCGACTGGTGGTAGGCCATGGCCGGAACCTACGTGCGCACGGCGGTCGCGCTCGCGCTCGGCTGCCTACTGCTGGCCATCGCCGCGGACGCCCTGGAGCCGAGCGGGTGGGTGAGGGCGCACGCCACCTTCTACGGCGGCAGCGACGCCTCCGGCACCATGGGTACGTGAACCGCCGCTCGATCACTAGCTGCTAATTAATGGCAGTTTATGCATGATCATACGTATGTACATGCAGGCGGGGCGTGCGGGTACGGGAACCTGTATGCGCAGGGGTACGGCGCGCGGACGACGGCGCTGAGCACGGCGCTCTTCAGCGACGGCGGCGCGTGCGGGCAGTGCTACAAGGTGGTGTGCGACCGCAAGACGGACAAGACGTGGTGCAAGCCCGGCGTGTCCGTCACCGTCACCGCCACCAACTTCTGCCCGCCCAACTGGGACCTCCCCAGCGACAAGGGCGGCTGGTGCAACCCGCCGCGCCCCCACTTCGACATGGCGCAGCCCGCCTGGGAGAAGATCGGCGTCTACCGCGGCGGCATCATCCCCATCATCTACCAAAGGTCCGTCCGCCGTCCTCCATCGATCAGGTTGACCAAGAACTTTCATGATCATGCGTGTATGCTAACCTAGCTAGCTCGTCGCTTTTGGCAGGGTGCCGTGCGTGAAGAAGGGCGGGGTGCGGTTCACCATCAGCGGCCACGACTACTTCGAGCTGGTGCTGCCGACCAACGTGGCGGCGGCCGGCTCCATCAGGGCCATGGACGTCAGGGGCTCCAAGTCCGGCGACTGGATGGCCATGGCGCACAACTGGGGCGCCAACTGGCACTCGCTCGCCTACCTCAACGGCCAGGGGCTCTCCTTCAGGGTCACCATCACCGACGGCCAGACGCTCGTCTTCTCCAACGTGGTGCCGCCCAGCTGGAGGTTCGGCCAGACCTTCTCCAGTAACCTGCAGTTCAAGTGATCGAGAAACGTTGACGACGTACGGCGTACGTACGTGAAGATGAACTCAATTAGGCATCCAATTTATTTGCTATACAACTTGGGTGTAATGGGTGGTCGATTTAATTACTTAGTAACCTACAGTTCAAGTGATCGAGAAATCGTTGACGACGTGCAGATGAAGTTTTTTTTTTTTGAAGTTACTTAGATATCCAATTTATTTGCTATATACTCCATATGATGTACTTAGTAACAACTTGAGTGTAATGTGTGGTTGATTTCCGAGCAATATGTGAGTAATGAAAAAGGGGTTAATCCGGTTCAGATTGTGTACCTGCTTAAAAGTACATGTACACTAGGCTTGCTTGTGCATGTGTTCAATGTACATAACACTAGTAGAAAAAGGACCTAATGTGACACACATTAGTCCCGGTTTGATTTCGGCCCGGTACTAATGGTATCATAAGTGCCGGTTCGAACGGCTATGCATTAATGCCGGTTCATTTTGACCCTTTAGTACCGGTTCGTGCCACGAACCGGTACTAAAGGGGTGGTGGCAGGCTGGCGTCAGGCTGAGGGCCCGCGATCACCTTTAGTACCGGTTCGTGGCATAAACCGGTACTAAAGGGCAAACCTTTAGTACCGGTTCGTGCCGGTACTAAAG